TGTCTCATTAATGAATAAACTTATTCAGACAGGACTTGCATCTGCTACTGGTGACAAGGATGAAACCTGCTTTTTTAACATGAGTAGGTATGATGATGGAGAAAGTGGTAGTAGGATTGCACTATGGGAGGATTTTGAGTTAAGAGGTTTCTTACCCTTAGTGCCAGCGCAATTCATTTTGGATTTTTCGAGGATGCATGCCTACATGAATGATGGAGGCAAAAAGGACAAAGTATCCCGTGTCCAGAGGATTCTAGCAGCTGGACAGTCTCTTATGAATATTGTTTCAATAGATGAGCAGAGAATATATTTTGATCCTAGCGTCAAGAAATTTATAGTGGGTACAGAGCCTTTATCATTCAAAGGTGAAATAGATCCTACCTTTTCAAGTCCATTGGATTCAAATGTTACTGAACAGGGAAGTCAGAATGAGAGTGTGGCTGATCTTGGAGTAGCATTAAGGACATATAATCCTGGAGTGACTCAAACCAAGGTACAATTATATGTGGAAGGAGAAGAAGATGAAGAAGTAATTGTCTTTAAGCCTACAACTGCTGAGAAGTATCCAGATGTATCTGCTTCGGTGTCGAATACCTATGACTTAGTCAACCCTGTACAAGCATCTTTAGCAACTGATTTGATGACTCATGAGCATCTTTCGGTACATTCTGATGGTTTTCCGATGTCGGCAGTATCCAATGTGAGTTTGGAACTACATCCATCTACCACTAATGTCTCACAGCTACCTTTGCAGTATGTGAATTCTGACAATTCCAGATGGTTTATGAAGCAAGATGCATTTTTGTCTGATGGACTGAAAAATGTTAACATAACAGAAAATGGTTACTTGAATAAGCATATGTTGCAAGAAGGCTCAAGTAACTCGCAGCTTAGTTCATTTGCACCTTTATTTTCTTTTCCTGTCAGTTTAGGTGCCAACAGCACACTCTCTAGCCAGACTAAAGCTGCAGAAGATGTGTTTCCATCTACACTTGATACTATAGTGCCTTCAGGATTAAGCTCTGATGGCATGACCATGAACCTCTCTTCAGCCTTGCCATCATTAAGAAAAAATCCTGTGAGTCGTCCAGTTAGGCACTCTGGACCCCCTCCTGGATTTAGTTGTATTGCTTCTAAACAACTGAATGGAGCAAGTGCTACTTCTTTTGCAAAGGAACAGCAGCCTGATGTTGATGATTACAGCTGGCTAGATGATGTTCAATCTTCATCAACCAAAGCAATGGGAACGGCAAACTCATATAATCAAAATACGCATTGGTTTCCATATGTTAATATGAACAACACTACTGCCTCTAGTGCTGCTTCCAGCTTCCCATTTCCTGGGAAACAAGTATCTAATGTGCAAACACAAGTGGCAGATGAGCAAAAATGGCATGATTTTCAGCTTTTTCAGCAACTGAAAGCTTACAATGGGCAGAAGCTTCAGCAACTAAATCCACAGCAGAGTTTGCCACCTGAACAACATCAAGCACAATCTCTTTGGTCTAGCCCATACTTCGTGTGAAATTTTGTGAAGATGACTACTGGTAACAAAAGGAGGAACTAATATTATATATTTCTTCAGAAACTTTCATACCCTTATCTAATTTCATTGTTCTGTTTTAGTGATGGATGAATATCTTGCAAACAAGGGACCTCTAGCCTGGTGCCTATCGACTTTGGTTCCACCTTTGCAAACTAAATGATCTCAGGTTTATGTTTGAACATGGAAAGTCACTGGAGTGCTGCAGGTGCTTGGACTAAAATTTGGTACACGTTGATGCTTAAACTTTTTTCCACCACTTTTTATAGTTTTCAGATAAAAAAAGGCTTGATATGATTCTTTCTAGGCTGCTTTTGTTTAGGGGAAAAGAAGGTTAAATTGTGTTTCCAGGAATCCTTTCTATACTGTTGGAGATATGGATAGATATCAGACTTCAGATCCATGAGTTTCCACTTTCTTATCCTGTCACATGGGTTTTATTGTTTTACTTGGTTGACCCTCCCTCGATCCCGTATTGACAGGAACCTTATGTACTGGATTTGCTCCTTTTTGGTTACCTCTGCTTTCTGTTCTTATGCAAGTGCCTCGTGAAAACTTATCAAAAGATAAATTTTGTCATGTCACTTGCTGAGATTGTTTGCTATTATCATATGAGATGCACTTGACTAGTTCCATAGGATGAAGATGATTTACCTACTGATTAAGCAAAACACATAAGGAAATTACTTTAACTGCTGATGTTAATATCCTTGGTCTTTTATCTTTTGTGTTCTTCAGTTTTAAAATCAGATATTTAAATTTGTTTTTTGATTTTGAGATCTGAAATCTAAATATGGTGCCTAAGAGATTGCCTTTGTTGCATATGACTGGTGTCATATGATTTTGTTTTGCTTTTCTAGTTTATGGTGTTTGAATCACACGCAAACATAACTACGGATGCCCTTTAGTTGGACATTGTTCCATCCCAATCAAGTTTCTTGAGGTCATATTTGTGGATTAGCTGTTCCTAAGGCTTTTTTTTTTTCTTTTTATCCTTCTGTTGTTAATGAAGTTAATGATGTGTTTCCTGAGGAAAATTTTGCTTTTACCAAATAACATTCGGCAGCAGTTTTGCTAGATCATGATTGGTGCCATTAAGTGAGTTTGATAATTTGTTTAATGCACACCAATATCATTGTTTTGGTCCTATGTTTCTTGTTGTTACTTTGCCTTGTGTCCTTAATCCTTATCACTTCAACCTCTTTTTCCTGCATTTTTTGGTGTAACGCGTAAGCGTCCACATACTAAAGTTTGCATATGTGAAGTTAATTGAAGGCAGTTTCATATTCTGGCTCAGGTAGATTTTTTTGTCTGGTTTTTCTTTTTTGTTTCAAATGGTTTATTTAAATCGTACATTTAGGTTGATGTTTTGTCTGGCTATTCTTTTTGTTTCAAATGATTATGTTTATGCAGTACATGCTTTCTTGATTTGCTTGTTTGGGTCAACAAGTTTCGAAAGTATTTTCTTATTAAGATTTTTCATTTGAAAATTTTTATGCAAAGGGTTTTTTTAATATATAACTCAAATGAGAAGTTTGTGTTCAAACACTGTTAATTGGATTATGATTAATTGTTAAATTATATTAGTCTGTTATCTGGTGTTCTGCCACCAAGAGTTACTTTAATTGATTGGTATATGTTGATGTTTATCACCTGGGAATAATCAAGTCACTTGTCTTTCCAGAATGCTCCGAGACTACCAGGCTGAAGAGCAAAGATGGTCGTTGTCGACTTTGGAGTTATCGTGAGAAAGTCCAACACATACTTGATGGTTCAAAAGTTAAAACGATGTGAGATCTTCACGGACTTTGCTCCTCGGTGGCAACCATTGTTCCACCATAGAGTTGCCTTACATGGCAGGCTTCGGTGTACTTCATCTACCAGCATCTGGGTTTTAGCTGTTAAAATAAGGTGTCTACATCAGTAGTAGGAAGATATTGGTCGCAGAAAGAGATATGTAACTGCACAAAGTGATTTCATATCGGAGGTTACTTGGTGATGGTAATTAATTCAGAATGCAGGAGATGAGAATCCATTACTCATGTTGCCTTAAGGATACTTTTACTTAAATTGTTTTATATAGTGGTGTGGAGTTTCAGTTGGTGTGGTTTGCTTTATCACCTAGCTCAATAACTTGGAAGACCTCGAACTTCCAACTAGAATATCCTATATGTTTGCAACAATTTGTATGGATTATGGTAGCTGCCATCTCTGGCTTAGTAGTAATTGCACTTGTCTATAAGGTATGTGTGGTGTGTCATGCAATCCAACTGCCACTATATTTTCAAGGATCTGTACTTCAATCTGGATTTGTTTTCTGTGGCTATCACAAGAGGTTTGATGCATCTTACTGTTACAAGAGTATGCTATGACTCACTTATTTTTGAAACCGGTGTTTGGGACTCCTGCTTGCTATTCTAGTTTTCTGCTCCTCCTCATCACTAGATCAGCATTGCAACTTGACTTGAAAATTGGAGTTCATCGCAGTTTCCTAGTGTCAGCTATGTTGAAGAGTGAAAGTTGCTTGAAGATTGATAATTTGACATGGGCTGATGTATCTCCTTTGGACAAATTCCCTAAAAGTCTCTCGACGTTCATTTTGCTTCTTTCCCGGACAGTACCTCTGTTCCTTAACTACTTTCTACCTTTTTTTTTTTCCGTCCAGAACAGTACCTCTTCCATGTCTTTAGTCCGATTTATTATGAATTGTCTTCGATTCAAAATGAAATTGAAACCGGTTCAGAATCGGTTTTATTTTGATTAGCACATTTATAATTTTAATGATTGTAAATTTTGATTTCAACACTTCAAAAAAAAAAGAGAATGATTTTTTGCCCAATTTATTCTTTTTGGATAACTTGAATTGAATATAGAACAATTTCATACACAAAACCAAGTTTCCTGAAAATTTAAAATTCTATTTATTTTCAGATCTCGATGCTCGTTCTAAATCCGATATGGTGCTAAACTCGTGTAGCATAAGTTTTCTCGCGTATAGTTTTCACGTGAGGCTTGAAGATGACGAATCGTGCGAACAGCAAGCCGTTCACCTGGGGGGTGACCCGAATTTAGGGAAACGGTAAATAAGGCAACGGTATTCCCATCGTCCAAACTAGTCGGAGTGTGCGTTCGTGGCGGTGACGGCAATCGACGGTGGACGTACAGCAGTGAGTCCTGACGATGATACCATCTAAAAAACAAAGAGGAATCGTTGTGAAATCAAACAACTTCATACTCTGACGACGGTGACCAGAATCTCGGGTAGAGGTCATGAAGACATCCGATGAGCTTACCGTGCAGAGTTAGATAAGTTGGACCAAATCAAAATTTCGATTTGAGGAAAACAGATTGGCTTAACTGAAGACGTGGCAGCCATCCAACCAAGGCATCATCAGTTGATCCCCCACGTATGGAGGAGATAATGGCAACCGAGGTGGTGACCATACCACAGCCTCGCTATTGAATCGCCGCCAAAGGTTGTTCTTCCAACGAAGTCAAGGCGATAACGCCGTCGCCCCGCTCACCTCCACCCTCCGCCTTTGACTCGACACGCAGCCGCCGCTTCCCGGAACTCTCGTTCCCTTGCTTCCAGGACTGGCTCTTCCTACCTTGTCTGCTACGAAGCTTCCCACCTTCGCATCCACCATTATTTTCCCCCAGTTTCTGGATTTCTTGAAGTGAGCTTTATCCAGACTCTTGATTCGCGGCCGGACCTAGTATCCTTATCCCCTTTTCCTGTTCTGATTCTTTGATAGATGCATCAACCTCTTACCTGGATGATGTGCTTTAGTTAATTCATGGTTTTTTTTTTCTTTTTTGAACCTGTAACGAATTAGACATAAGAGATCTAAGGACGTTATCCTTTCAGGGTTTCTATTCCCAGGTTCGGGGAATTAGTTACTTTTCCATTTGTTGGTTCTGCTGAGGCGGTTTTATCCGATCCAAGGACTTAAACCGCGGCTCAGAATACGATTTGTGAAGGGTTTTCTGTGTTCAGAATTATTGGTAGATGGCTTCTTTGGCTCTGCATCTGTTGATTGTAGCACAATTGCCATGGGGCTTGGTGTCTGCTTCAGTTCCGACACTTTCTAAGGCATGCGGATACGATCAGGTTGACTACTTGAGATCGCGGGGTGAGTATTACCTCTCGATTAATGGGATAAGGATGGATGATGCCTTTTTGATCTGCAAGGCACTTGAATCCTACTTCAAGAATGGTTGCTTCACCTGTGACGCCAATGTGGAATCGTGGACAACAATCGGAGAGAACTACTGCGATCAGGACTTCACCGCATTCGTTCATGTCAAGTGCAGTACCATCTCTGGTAAATTCATGACAAATGGGTAACCTTATAAAAGATTTTTGTTCTGCAACCACTCAGGAACGACTTGTAAAGGATGTGAGACGGCATATAGGAAACTCAGTCCGGGTAGACGGTTAATGGATAGAATTAATTACTATTTCATAGAATTAGTTTTCTACCATTCTTGAACTTATTTATGTTGAAATTAGTTTAAATACCTGATAAACAAAGCTATTTATAGGTATCAGATGGATATACATATCTGTAGTGTTTGTTTTCCCTTTTTTTTGTCCTATAGCGATGTTACAGAATTTGGTTAATTGAATATGTGCATCTTATGTTCACATGACCTATTGTAGTGGACTCACTCAAACAAGAGGGGAGGAAACTCTTATTACAGTCATCAGAAAATGTCACAATTCTTAGTCAGGGGATCAAACTGGATCTGTCAGATGAAGAAAAGAAAGAATATACGTCTTCAGAACCACAGAATATCCCTCTCGCTATTCCAGGAATGCTCCTCCTATGTTGTGGTGTCCTCTGTCCTTGCTTTCATGCGAAACGAAAGGAAAAAAGTGAGCATAGTGTTCTAGACAGAGAATTGAAATCGAGTGAGTCAATCATGAAAAGCTGCTGTTACAGATTTGTCTACTTTCTTCATTTTGTTGTCAGTTCACTAACTTCAAAGGATGATACAACCAGATCTACTAGATGGATCCTTGCTTTATGGTCTTGTTGCTGCCTTGCTGGTGCTTCTTGTTTTATTATAGTAGCTGTTGATTTCACATATGGCTAATCCTTGGAAGAGTTTCTATTCATCTGAAATGATACTAGAATCTCCCGTGTTTCTTGATGGAATCCTTTGGATCTTCTATGCTTAATTTTAATTGAGCCATGGTGGAGTAGATCCTTGGAGGATTCTATCTTTATCATTTTAATTGTCTGCTATATACTTATAGATAAGCTCATTGCTTCATTGACCAACACTGACATTTCCAGACTGAGCTTTGTCTCAAATTCCTTGTTTCAAAGTAGGGCGAAGCAAGTGCTTCATGCTTGAACTAACATCCCTAGAAATCTCTATTCTCATTACAAAAATCTCTAATCTTCTGAAATTATCATCTTTCAATAGATTTATTTCTTTTTATCTCTGATTCAAATGCTTCCACTATCTTCTAATGATTCATCATACCTTAAGATTCTTTTGGTTTATGGTTTGGTTGAACAGACATTACTTTCATTTTCGAAAACAAAAGATATCATGTTGACTAGGACAAGGAAATTAATTTCTTACATATAGGCAAATGCTTCCGTTATTTTACATGGCTACCTTTTCATTTGCTTTAAAGGAAAAACAGATAGAAGAGAATTGATGGTTCAAAGCCAACTCCTGTTAGACAAGCATACAGTGGATATGTGAAAAGTATATTGACATAGATCCTATAGTCTCAATTTTTTTTTTACCATAATTGATCTATAGGCCTAGGATTCTGCCCCTATGATTTGCTATATTGATGGCACTATGCTTTCGCAGCATGTTTGAATGTGTCCTAATCAGATTCGTTTCATGTTTCAGTGGATTTAAATTCATCTTTAGAGTTAAGCTCGGTCTCTGAAAAGATCCCAGTGACCCCAAGAGTACCTCCTAGTCCATCTCGGTTTTCATCATCTCCTCAACTGAGCAGAATTGGATCAGTACATCTCAGTATCAATCAGATAATAAGGGCAACTCATAATTTTTCAAATTCAGTGAAATTAGGTGAAGGAGGCTTTGGAACTGTATACAAGGCTGTTTTACCAGATGGTCAAGTCGTCGCAATTAAGCGAGCAAAGAAGGTAATAATATATGTCTTCTTAGAGGTTTCACAATGAGGCTTAGTATCACAAAGATGTATTGCTAGACTTTACTGAATAACTATTATTAAGTCTTCTATTGAAATGCACAATAATTTTGTTGGTTTTATTAGTGTATTTTTTTTTATTGCATATCAATTTGACTGAGGATACTTGCTTAACTAAATATTTAATTTGGGTATTATTATATGACCAATAAAGTCTGTTTTTACTGATTTATAATGCTATGCTAGAATCTTTTATACTGATCTATCTATACTTAAGCCAAGAGAGGGAGGTACGGTCCATGTAGTTCTCATATTCTAATGGAATATCACTTTCTCTTAGCAATAGCATCACGATAGCAAGGTAATAAACTGCTTAACATTTGGGCTAATGGTACACTACCTTTCTCTTGGCCAGTAAGAGATAAAATTATTCCCAATACTGTAACATGCAAAGCACTTCAGATAATAGTACTTCTATGTGTTAGTTCTGACAATATGGGCAGTTCTGGCATTCTGAAACTAGCTCCGAAGCATTATATGGCCATCTCGCCAATCCTTAATAATCAGGGTGTCTTTCTCATCACCCACCACATTCTATGATGGGTACTACTGTATCCTCACCTGCTGCCAGCCCATAGATAAACTTGATGACTTCAGCAGTAAATCCAGAGGCAGCAATGGTAACAATCAAGCATCACGGATGATTGAAAGGAAATCAGCTCATCCTTGAAGTTGTAATCTCACTGTCAACAGTGACATTCAAAGCAGTTGCAGCCACATTGGAAGGGCTTCTTACTATTGTTGTCTGCCATGCAGCCAAGTTAACAAAGGATAAGAAAGAAGGGCACAACATTTGATGCAAGTAGACTGCATACGTTATTCCTAGGGTAAAACAACAAGCAAACCATTAAGATGAATTGGGGGTTGTGACTTGTAAGACCAAAATTACTAAGAAACAAAAGACTTCTGAGAAAAAGTAAGGCAACCATATTAGGTCTAGATTCTCCTTTTGCAAGGTGTACAGTGATGCCAGGAGCAAGCACAGTCCCACAAACGTGATTATTATAGTAGAAATTTTTTGCTTTCTACCAATTTTGTCCATCGTGGTATAAATTTAGTAGAGTTGATGATAGTGTATTGAACACCACTTTTCTATTTGTGTCCATTTGGAGCAAGATTGCAAACTGACAAAAAGTTTGTATTTATTTGCTCTGTAGATTGTTTTGGTGGCACAACAATATGGTAGTGCATGCGTGTCATGTCATCTTGTGATGTTATATTGAAAAGTGCACTTAATATAGTATACATATATGTTGTGGCTACTTAACGCCATAGGTGTCAAGTAGTTGGGTCTTAGAGACAACCTTCCCGCATTGGGGGTAAGGTTATCTACATTTAGCTCTTTGTACGCCATAGGTGTCAAGTAGTTGGGTCTCAGTGTATGGTGATACACTGACTGTAACTTCATGGACCAGGCTACTCTTTTGACAATACGCACAACATTGAGAGAGGAAAATGTGTCTTCAGTTCCCTGACGTCTGAATGTTCTGCTTAATCTTAATCTTCAGCTATGTGACCATCTTTTCGTACCTTTAAATTTATGGATCACTGGCAATCGCAATAAAAAGTCTGCTTTTTTTTATATTACCTAGATGCAATCTGCTAAAATTAGCTTCTGGTTAGGAGCAAATTTCATCTTTGAGAGATGAATTCAGCAATGAAGTTGAGCTGCTTGCAAAGATTGAACATAATAATTTGGTGAGGTTGCTTGGTTACACTGACAAAGGAAATGAACGCATTATAATTACCGAGTATGTCCCAAATGGTACTCTGAGGGAGCATCTAGATGGTATGCTTCAAATTTTCTTGATGTTGTGTAGTGTCCTTAAGATAGAGTAATTGATACAATCTTCTCATTTTTCAGGTCTCTGTGGAAAAATTTTAGACTTCAGTCAACGTGTAGAAATCGCCATTGATGTTGCCCACGCATTGACTTATCTCCATCTATATGCAGGTTAGGCTATATTACTGGTTTTTCATTCTTGTTCGTGAATTTCCTTTAAAATATCGCTTATTGTTTATGCTTTATTCAATTAGTTATAAACAGATTTAAGAGTTTCATATTGCTACTTGCAAGTGCAGTGAATTCTTTATGCATATTATTTGTCGTTTGCTGAGCATGATATGTCATAGTTGCATCTCTTTGGTGAAGACATGGCAAAATGGAACATATCTAGTTTGCAGATGTCATTTGTAGGTCCATAGATCAAAATTGTTTATATTTTTGCTTCATTGCTTAAATTTGTGTATGCTGATATACTGTTTCAGGTTTTTTTGTATTTAGTACCGCACATTAGATGTCAGAATACTACTTGTAGAGTCCAGATTGGCAAAATATTAGCTCCCTGGATAACTTTGATTCTCACAAGGAGATTTTTCAGACTAAGCTTTAGCCGTTCAATAAAATGGCACACCTGGAGCTTCCTGACACCACACCCAAAACCTATCCCATTTCCCTTCTCTTTGCAGAAAGAAGGGTTATAATATGAAAATGAACCTTGTCGCACAACCTTGGCAGTGATGCATGCAGTGGAAAGAAGGAAATAGAATGACATTATCATCATCATGGAATTGATATAGATACCATGAATAAGAGACTAAACAGGCTTCTAATGGCTCAAAGAAACACTCAAGGAAGAAAAACATCTCTAGGCCTATGATCTGTGCCCAATCCTTGGCATCTTGTTCGTTTATAACCTTCCTGAGGCTACAGATACCCTGGAAGGTTACCCCTTGGATTTAGAAACGTAATATGCCTCTTAGGTCTCTTTAAACATTAACTTGCCTTATTGGCATTGGGCAAGTACCTCTTGCCTGCAGTTACTGAGGAATCTGATAGAATGCTTGTTGTCATGGGTCATTGATCATAAGAAAATGATGTAAATGAGTGAGTATACATCACTCGTTTTATGTAAAGAAGGCACCTGTTGCCAATTTCCAACAGAGCTAAACGCTTGTTTTGAAAGACATCTAAACTTGCTGGTGGTTTCAGGCTCTTCCTTTACACTGGCCTAAAGGAAATGGAAGTTTAAAATTCCAGAAGTTGTACAGAATCATGAAGCTCTCCTGGTCTACTGTCATCAGTTGCCATCTGTTGTGATGTATAGAATCCTTTACACTGATCTATTGTCATCCGTCGCAATCATTTTTTGTCATCCTTATGTTATTTATGAAAATTCGAGTCTGTCTGTCATCAGTAAATTTTTATATTGTCATCTCTTGTAATCATTTGTCATCCTCATGTTATCATGTCAACACCAGTCAAGTAAGATGGTGATGAGTCACCATGGACATCACAGTAAAAATATATTTTTTGGTTTAGAGCTTAACTTTTGAAGTGGTAGTTACTAGTTGCTACATGTTGAATAAGGTTGGTATCAGTAAAATATAATAATGATTGTTTGTTATGATAACAGCTTCTGTTTTCTCTTCAGTGAGTTTGTTATTACTTGTCGTAGGCTGAAATTAAGTCTGCTTAAGTATCTAGAAGCATATGTTTATATGAAGTTTATAGGAACTCAATCTCATACTATATGCTTTTGTAGATTCCGTTGCTTGAAAAATGTTGTTCATTACACAAATAATGTCACAAACATTTTCCAATTTTTCATGGTATTCTTGAGCAATGGGATTATGCATGTATTTATTTATTCTAATTATGTTGATGCATATGTAACTCAATGCTTTCTATATGTGGGTGCATTATGTGCCAAGTGTGCCAGGATATTGGAGTTTGTGCATCCTTGCTTAATCTGTATTTATGAGTTTATTGGTCTCAAAGATGTGTACATGTCATCCAGATGTGCAAACTCTCCAGTCAATTTATTGGACCAGTACCATGTAAAATTGTTCTAGTTCATCTGGCTCAATATGTGATGTGACAAGAATTGTTGTGTTGACAGAAAAAACAATAATTCACCGAGATGTGAAGTCATCAAATATTCTGCTGACAGAAAGCTATAGAGCAAAGGTGTCTGATTTTGGGTTTGCAAGGAGTGGTTTATCAGACACAGATCAAACTCACATATCAACCAAAGTGAAAGGAACTGCTGGGTACCTTGATCCAGAATACCTAAGGACATATCAACTCACTCCAAAGAGCGACGTATTTTCCTTTGGAATTTTGCTCATTGAAATTATTTCCGGGCGGCGACCAGTAGATCTCAAAAGAAATGCTGACGAAAGGATCACTGTAAGATGGGTATGCATTGGTGTCTCTTTCTCCTCAAAAGCTTATTGCATTGCATGAAATCTTGTGCCCCTTGGCTGCATATATGTCCTGGTAATTGAGTTCCTCAAATTAAATAAAGATATTTAGTTAGTCCGGAATGCTATAGTAAAATTTCTTTTCCAAAATTTACATTGACTAAATGAATCTCTGGTTTCTATAAAATCCATAATGATGTTTGCAAATATGCAATAACTAGTTCCGTTACTTGTTCAAAACATCTCTGCTGATTTTGGCCTCTGAAGCTATTTGTCATCTCCCACTCTCTAATTAAAATATGCCACTTTGTGTTTAATGAACCAATGAATTATTAGTCATGTTCCTAGCTTTAATTTAGTTTCAATTTGTCTGCTCTATTAATGGAAGACAACTCGATTAAGTTTCTTACTTACTAAATATGCAATCCAAAGCATTCTCGGAAAAAGTCATATCCTACGACCATTGCTTTTTCTTTTTATCCAATCTTTATTAACTATTGCGCTGCAGGCTTTCAAGAAGCATAGCGAAGGAAATGTTCAGGACATATTGGACCCATTACTTGAGGAGAACGTTGATGATGAGATAATTGGGATGATGCTCGACCTTGCATTTGATTGTGCTGCCCCTACACGTTCCAGTCGTCCTGCTATGAAAGAAGTAGGAGAACAACTATGGGAAATAAGAAAACGTTATGGAAAGACCCTAAGGGGAATGTCGGGATCCTTGCACCAGTGAAGATGGCATCGACGATAGAGGATGTCGCCAAAGGAAATCTGTTGTTCATGCCATTGATCCAAGGACAGTATATCTGCTGTTACCTGTGCATTTATTTTAGGACATAGCGGACAATATAGAGATTGTAAATATCAACATTTGAAACATCTTGTTGGATGCACACAACAGGAAATTTGATAATATGCTCTTCGGTGGTCTATACTATGATATTACCACTACCCTTGAGCTAGTATGTTCATCCTGCTGCTTATGGATGATGATGTTTGTTTGTTTGATCGATGAGATCTGGTGCATGTAAAATGCTGTCCATTTGTTTTGCTGTATATTTTTCTGGCGAATGTAGAAGTGGTTGTGTTAGTATTATGACATTTTTAGACTTGGTAGTTTCTTCATTTAAATCCATAACTATCTCCTCCACTTAAAACACCAAAACCCTTGGCTTGACATGGGCGGCCATTTAGATCATCACATTATTATCCATCACATTGTTATCATCAGAGACTTACGAATAAGTTTCAACATGAAATGTATACACCACAAATGATTGCTGCTATGATATCATATATAAAGATGACATATATATATATATATATACCACAAATGATTGTTGCTATGTAATCATATATAAAGATGTTTTTCCGAAACGAACGGAGCTTCATGCACGAATCCATTATCGGACTTGTTCAGCATGAATAAAACATTCAGATCAGTGTTGCATTGGTGATGAGGATTTTAGTCACCAAAACTAATGTATATTTTTGCAAGAATAAGTTTACAATCTTCTTTGAAAGTCTCGTGCACTGAGTCAATCTTTACACGATCGAAGTGGTGTCAGTCATATACTAATTTTTCTTCAAACAGATTATATATGAATAATAAGGATTTTGCAGGAAAAATAAAATAAAATAAGAAAACAAATTATATATATATATATAAACAGATTATATGACATCCACATCCCAACTGTGGATGTCAGCTGCACTGCTTCTAGAATGTAATACCCATCTAAAAAAAAACCACACATTCGAGCGTGAATAAAGAAAAACCAAGATTCTATTTTCAAAATCCACCTCTATCGCTCACCCTTTGCGAGAGAGAGAGAGAGAGAGAGAGAGAAGAGATCATTTAACTGAGATGACAAATTAGTGGGTCAAGATCAACAACCACCCCATGCTTTTTCCTTCTCTAGGAAACTGATGCCCAAAGAGCAAGCTCAACCATTGTATTGGAGAAAAAAAATAAATGAAAAATTGATACAACATTTGTTTGTTACAATGGAGAATAAACGAAAAATTGATACAACATTTGTTTGTTAATGAAGGCCATGCAATGGACATATAGCTAATACCATGCAAAAGGGCACCTTCAATCATTATAGACTTTTCATAATCCATGCTAAAAACTGTTATTGAGCCATCCATCATCACCAACCATCCAGTTGAGTATACTTAATGAAAACGATTCTAGTTGCTGAGAGGACAGCCTCAAAAAGGTTTGCTTTAATATTAAAAGTGAGTTTACAGGCTTCTGAACAAATTACACAGCTATTGGACTGTTAAGTTGTACCAAAAATTGACAACTCATTGGGTCAAAAAATATGTCAGATGAACCAATTTGTTCAACATGTATGAAGGTTGCCTCTAAAACTCTTTGGAGCAAGAGTACATGGTAAATCAGCACTCCACTGTTTGGATCTTCAACTTTCTGTTACCGGGACCGGACCTTGTTATTGACAAGGTCAGATGAACAATTCAAGAGACGACCACGTTCTCGCTTGCTTTGTAGTAAAGAATTTTCTGTACATAGAACAGCATATATGCCTGTGAAGCTCTCACCACCCTTTCGCTGACACAAGTGATCCATGCATCATCGCATCTGTACCACTGACTATTGAGTCGTAAATATGTTAGATAATGGCCAGCATCTAATTTACCACTATGTGTAACCACTGCAAATAATTCCAAGTTTGATATCGACTCAATTGAAGTGTCTGAATCATCACCACTTGAAGCAAACACCCGATTGCCGTATCTAGCCCTGAGGATGGAGGATGAGAGGTATGGGGCCAAGTCCAGGGAAAATGGAAAGTGCAGATATTGATCAACCTTCCGTGACATTTTTCTCATTGATGAATGCTCAAACCGCTTGATGTGAAAGCAAGTTACCAGTGGGATCTTTCTTATAGACATCTGTTTGAGGGATTCCTGCCTAACTTGACAATGTTGGCAGAAGAGCTTCTGATCAGCGCCCAATTTTTCAGGCCTGGTGAATCGTTCCAGACACTCCATAAGGGTAGAAGTTCCACATGTTTGGCTTGCAAACATCGAATTGGCTTCGCCACCATTCATGTGAAGCTTTGAGCCTGTCACCTTCGTAGGATCCTGCTTAGAATCCAAGTCCAAGGAGATGTCCACACAAGGGTCATATGTTGTAGATGTGAACCCACACATGGTGCAAGTGACATCGGATCTCAAGGTACCAGAAAACACCCTATGAGCAATGCAACATTCTCCACTGCTTACTGCAAAAAAAGGAAGGGGGGGGGGGGGGGGGGGAAGATGACTATAAATGTCTGGCCATGCAATCCTAGGCATCAACATGTTTTAATAATTTTCTCATCAAAGAACAAGAAAAGAAGAAAAAACTATCATGCTATACATAGCACAAAGAAAAGGAACGACAGTAGAGTACAGTTTTCTTGATTACAAAAAGTTTGACCAGTGGCACAATAGTTTAGGATAAGAGCATCCACAGTTCATGAGAAGCTACTAACACCAAGGATTCTTATGCAATGGGCTAATAGATTGGGAAGTTGTAATGGTGAAGTTGTAATGAGAAGGTACTAATACAGCTTCATATAATAAAAATAATGGTGAAGTTGTAACACAAAAATTATGCATATAACCTGAACAATCAGAGAAAAAATGTACTATATATAGCACAAACAGAAAAAATATATATATATGGAGAGCAAGTATAGAGAAACAATTGGTCAACAAAAAGAAAAATAAAAAAATATTTAAAAAAATAACGAAGGCAAGATTACCATTAATCTTCTTCAAGAAATTAGGATATCCTTGCATGAGTAGACAAACATAATATGAAGTGATGTGGTCACTGCTGATATGAACCATCTGTTAATCTACTAGGCTTAACTATTACAATGAAGAATGTACATCAAAATCCCTATTCCTCTAAGAACACTTTCAGGAGGATGATAATTTGCCACAGATCCCAGTGGTACAACCAAAACATGCAAGAGATGCATTTCATAAGCATGAAGAAAAAAGCGGCATTGCTAAATGCTTGCTTTGAAGTTGCAACCTCTTAGAGCTTAGTTACTCATCATTGTCTAAGCCTTTTTCCAGTCAAAGTAGGGTTGATACAGAAACTGCATGGAGAATGCTCTGACACCTACAGATAGAACCATATGATAGTTTGGACTTTCACTAATAAAATTTTCTCTCACTCAACCAGTAAAGATTTTGTGAACATCAATCACCATCTCTTTTGTTTGCACTATAGCAACAACATTGATCTATTGCTAATAAACAACCTACTACTTGAAAAGGCAAACTAAAAAGGAACTGAAGGTTCGGTTCATGTTAACCACACAAGGAATCCAGTAAAGAAGAACAAAAAGAAAGGAAGGTATGGATGAGGATACAAACTCCAAAATTCAGTTTTAGCTGACAAGTGAGATTTAGAAGATACAAATTTTATAACTTTCCATTTACTAGTCTTTACTAGTATTCCAGCATATGAAATAGATAATCATACAAGCAACAACCAGTTGAGAAGATTGCATCTTTTCATGCAAATAGCCAATTAACATATAACCAATGTCAGAGGTTAGGCTCATGATTAACAACCATGGACTGAGTATTATTGATCCCATGTCAAAATAAAGATCCACAATTCAGAGAAAAAACCGTGTAGGAAAGAAATTAAAATCACCATCTTTTTGTGTGTAAAGGATAAGATAAGTGGTGAAGGATGAATTCGAGCCTAAGACTTTACCAGCTAAGCTGGCAGACACCTTCGGAACTTCAAATCACCATGGAACTTGCTAGGAGCAAAAGTTCTGTCATTTCCAAACACCTCATAATGAGGTTTTACCAGATATGATTTGGAAATCACATAAAAACTGAGAACTGACGCGTTAGTAAATGAGTAATGCAAACTAATAAAGTTGTATGACAATAGTTGCATCAAAATTCTAAAAAGAGAAGATGAATGCAGAAAAGCATATTACCATGACTGGGACGTTTGCCTGGATCCTGCTCTTTTTCATGGATTCCATCAAGCATGCAAATAAAAAATTCATGTGCATCGTGTTGTTGGTAATTTGCAAGGTTTGATGCATATCGCCACCAACTGTGACATCCAAAATTCTCAGTTGTAAAAAAGTCAGATTCAGTCAAAATCTCAGAAGGTATCCCATGAAATAAACAACTTGACAAAAAACTTAAGGTGCATTGAAATTGGAAAAACTTAACCATCAAGGAACTATTTAACTGCATTTTGTCTTGTGTAATCAGAACATCACATTCGCATGACTGTGGGATGCATTCTTTGTTCAAAGTCCCAAAGTAGGCTAAAAACCAGTACCATAGGAAGTTGATGATGTGTTTAATGAGCATTGCAGAATTAATACCAAAAGAGGTTCTGTGGATGGTAACCAGTCAGGAAGAACACATGGAATGCAATGGATAACTTTTAACTAAAGCAAATAATAGACTAACTACTTTAGGTATTATGAGAAACATGTGCATCAATGATTAGCTATTAATTCTCACCAAGCAAGCATGATTGAAAGATCTAACCTTAAAAGAATTTTCAGATAGTATTTTTCAGATCCAAAATAAAACACAAAAGCCTTGAAGTTATATCGAATAGGGTGTTGTGATTAACTGTTGCTGGTAAAAATTATTATCCCGTCAAGTAAAAAGCTTCACTTTCACTAGTGGAATATGCTAAATTCCTTTTTACAACTATCAATTCTACCTGTTATGAGCAGAATAAGTGCTCACTTGCAAGCACATATCAACTTATAAAGAAAGAGGTCTCAAATCAAAGTTAAATAAAACAGAAAAACACTTCAACCAGAAAACAAAAAGAGAAAGTAAAAGAAACCTTTGAAGCAAAACCAAAACCAAAATTGAAAAACTTGTTGACCGCATTCGACTCTTGTTTTCATATTAAGAAAGCAAAACAAACACAAAATATAATTTTATAATATTAGTTAAAAGAAGCAACATTAACCTATCAAAATCCATTAGAAGTAAAGTTCGACATTCTCAGCTTTGTCCTGGCAAGCACGCAAGGAGAAAAGCCATTCAACAGATCATCGATTC